CAGGCACGTGCCACCATGCCCAGCTAATTTTTTGTATTTTTAGTAGAGACGGGGTTTCACCATGTTGACCAGGATGGTCTTGATCTCTTGACCTTGTGATCCACCCGCCTCGGCCTCCCAAAGTGCTCAAGATTTTATCTAACAATTTCACTTGGTTTAATGAAGCCTGATCCGGAAATATGGTTAACTTTTTCATTTGGAATGAAAGCTGTGACTTTCAGATATAGCTGCGGGCTCCTAACCGCAGTAGCTGACAAAGGCATGACCCTGTGGGAAACCAAATTTAATTTCTTTCCTACCGGAGAATGTGAGCCACAGGAATTGTTCTTCCTGCTCTACGGGCAGTGCGTACCTACATGTGATATAAGCTGACGTAACTGTCAGAGTTCATGCTGAAAGAACACTTTGTTTAGTCTGTTGCTATCTGTAATCAGATGATATCCCATCAGTCCCCTCCAAATATGATACAAATGTTAACTGTCTTTAGGAGAGGAGGAAATTATTGATAACTCTTTAGTACACACGATTCACACCTATGCATTCACATTTAAACTATTTTAGAAAACGGTGGAAGCGTGTTCTTTTTTTCCATCTGAAGCAGAAAGTTAGAGTTGTCCGTTTGAAGTAGGCAATGTGAAAAATCATTAATGTGTCCCTATATCCTGTATAATGTGACATCGGTTGGTTGGTCTGTCATCCTTACTGGAAAAAATAAAACTGCACTCAATTCATTTCTTTGTACCAGCTCCTGAATAATGTCCTCTTCAAATATATAGTAACTTGTTTGAACAGGAACATTGGGAAAGCTGGCGAGCTGGCAGTTCTCTGTGGGTAAGATGATAGGCGTGGTAAGGAGAGAGAGGCTAAGCCTTTGCTTTATTCCAGTCGAAGTGTAGAGTGGATGGGGAAACTGAGGGCAAGTTACTTTGCCTTTTCATTGAAAGTTTCTCCCCTTTTCTATTTCCCTGTGTGTATGAGTAGTAGGCAGCCTGGCGCGGTGGCTCACACCTGTAATCCCAGCACTTTGGGAGGCCGAGGTAGGCAGATCACCTGAGGTTACGAGTTCAAGACCAGCCTGGCCAACATGGTGAAACCCCATCTCTACTAAAAGTATAAAAAATTAGCCGGGTGTGGTGACAGGTGCCTATAATCTTAGCTGCTTGGGAGGCTGAGACAGGAGAGTCATTTGAACCTAGGAGGCGGAGGTTGTAGTAAGCCAGTGTCACACCATTGCAGTGCAGCCTGGGCTACAGAGCAAGACTCTGTCTAAAAAAAAAAAAAAAAAAAAAAAGAGTGGCATGTTTATCAAAGGGGATACTGCATCTTTGTCTGCAGATGTGTGTGTAGCGGGCACGCACGACACAGTGTGCTGTAGTGTGAGCCTACCTCGTCTCCTTCCTCAGCTTGAAAGGATGATGATGGTTCATGTCTGGATATGCCATGAGCATTGTCTGCACAGCTGCACTCAAAATGACATTAAATATAGGTCAAGTGGAAGATACTCCTTAAGAGAAGGCCAAGTCAGCACTTAAATAATTTGACCATTGGTGCTCAGAAGTTACCCTGGTTTTTCTCTCATTGAGGGAGTTTGGTTTTTGCCCCACATTAAACAGTTGGAGCAAATTTCAAGTAGAAGGATGTGAACATAGAGATAAAAAGGGTTTTTTTTGGTGTCTTTGTTAATGTAAGGCTAGCAGCTGCTTGGCCGGGCACGGTGGCTCAAGCCCGTAATCCCAGCACTTTGGGAGGCTGAGGCGGGTGGATCATGAGGTCAAGAGATCGAGACCATCCTGGTCAACATGGTGAAACCCCGTCTCTACTAAAAATACAAAAAATTAGCTGGACATGGTGGCGCGTGCCTGTAATCCCAGCTGCTCAGGAGGCTGAGGCAGGAGAATTGCCTGAACCCAGGAGGCGGAGGTTATGGTGAGCCGAGATTGTGCCATTGCACTCCAGCCTGGATAACAAGAGCGAAACTCTGTCTCAAAAAAAAAAAAAAAGCAGATCTTGATCCCCATAGCCTAAACTTTTTTTTCTTATTAATACAGTGGTCTGATGTGTGTGTTGCTCAGCCGGTGATACTCTTCCAGGTGGTGATTCAGGGACCCAGGCTCTCCGGAGTTGTGCTGCAGGTTGTCTCCATTCCAGTGTGTGTGTGCGTGCATGCGTGTGTGCACACCGGCTCACATTCTATTAGCTAAGCTCAGAGCCACGCCCTAAGTGCAGGGAAAGCTGAGAAGTATGGTCTGCATGTGACTTCTCTGGAAGAGATTATGCCAGTGATTTTTACACTTCACCCGCATCAGATTACCTGGAAGCTTGTTAAAACACAGCTTCCCGGCTCCTCCCCCAGGGGTTTCTGATTCAGCAGGGCTTGGGTTAGGCTCAAGATTTCCCGTTTCCAACAAGATCCCAGGCGACGTTGTTACTGCCGGCTTGGGGAATCACACTTTGAATAGCCTTGGTTCTGACACATTTTTGCGTCTTCATTTATTCACGCTGTTCATGAGAACCAGAAATAGCTTTGTTTTAGAATGACTTGAGAGGTAAGAGGGAAGAATAGTAAAGTAGATAGTAGTCTTGGCCAGGCCATCTGAAATGTTAAAAATAATTCTAAGAGGATGATTTCTTAGAGGAGCTGGAGGTTTGGAGGACTGCGACCTGGGCAGTCATGTGCTCATGAGATGGCTGTGCCTTGCTCCCTGGCAGGAGCCATCAGAAGGGACCTCTGTTGCCAGGTAAGGGAGCTTTCAGCTTCGTTATCTCTCTTGGAGCAGGGAGGTTTAGAGAATGAAGTATGTAAGTAGGTCCCGGAGAAGTGACATGGAGAAGTGACAACGAAGGACTTGAGTGAGAATCGAGGGGTTTGCACTTCCCGGGGTAGACCCAAGCCTGGACTTTGGACACAGAAAAGTTGGACCTGGATTTTTAATTTCTTCAAGTCTCAGGATACTTGTCACGTGGGGATAACATCTAGTCTGTTAAGTTATTGTGAGAATCAGCGAGGTTAGAGATTCGTAAACTTTCCTGGTTGGTGGTGCTTCTAGGTTAAAATAAACATCTAACATATTCATTTTTTAAGTGGTTTGTTCCAAGCAACCTCATACATATGTCTAAACAAATCAGTAGCTATTTGAAAAAATAATACATATCAATTGAAAATAAAATTTTAGTTTCTTAAATAATCGCAGTTACTTACTAATGTGTGTACCTGTCGCTACTACACAGCTTCTCAAACCTTGGAACTGTACCGGACATGGCTGTTCTCTTTTCCTGTTCTTTGTCGATGTCTTTTTAATCACAGCACCTGCTGAAACTTTTTGCAAAAATATGATGGCATCAAAAAGAATGCAATAGTGAAAGGCAGTATTAAAACGGAAAGCTCCCTGAGTTAGTAGTACAGACGGTATCTGACCTATGTTGAATTTTCCATGTGTCCCTCAAAAAATGTAGAAGAGATTGCATTGCCTCTATCAGTTCACTGTATGACCCGGGTGCTTTGATGTGTGGATGGAGAAATGCGGGATTTAGTAGGGTTTTCTTTTCTTTATTCATTCTTTTCACAAATGTTAACTGAGTAGCAGCGAAGTATCAGGCACAGTGCCTGGGTACTGTGGGGAGGAAAACATTTTCACCTCTACAGAGTGTGGTCTAGTGGGGAAACCAGACATTGAATCAGATAATCACACTAATGTAGACTTCCACTGGGGCCAGTGCCATGAGCGAGCATTTCAAGGTGCTATAAGAAAGAATATTTGACCTAGTCAAGGGAAGTTAACATGGCAAGAAAGGGTAGGAACCATATTCCAGGCAGGGGCAATAGCATTCTGCACAAGAGTTTTTCAAACTATCTATGGTGAAGGACCTGCTCCCCGCCTTCCGCCAATGGCACTGTTGTTGATTCTTGACTAGTATGTAGCTTGTGCAGACCATGTGTGTTTGACAATATCTCAGCTGTTGAGACTTGTCCGGCTGATCCATGCATTTGAATACTGAAACAAAGCCAAATGCAGGACATGTTTCCAAAGGCTGCAGTGGATGGGTAGCAGTTTGTAGACCATTAAAATGTGCAGACCACACTTTATAACTGCTCCAGACAGCAGAACAGCATGTGCAAAGGTCCTGTGGTCAGAGGCAGCTTGGTGATTATGAAGGAAGAGAGAAAGACTAGTGTCAGTGGAAGATGAAGTGAGAAGGTGGAAAAGTCAGCGGGCCTGGGCCTCAAGGCCACAATAAGAGTGTGAGGCTCAGATGAAGACATTTCCATCCTGGTGGAGAAGGGGAAGTTGTCTTGACTACCTCCTAGGTAATAGCTTGAGAAAATTAATAGGCCAGACATTTGGCTACGAAGATGCATTGTGTGATTTAGGCAAATGGCAGTTCTCTTCCTTTTACCATCGATGTAGAGTTCAGTGGCATTTCAGCCTCCCAGAGCAGGGAGGACCCTTGCCTTGGTGTGAATGGGCCTGCTGGAGGGTGTCCAGGTGGTCACAGAAGCACCTCCAGTTCCCTGACCGATGCTGCCAGGTGCTCAGGCTCCTTATGGTACCCATGCCACTGGCAGGAGGTTGGAAACCACGCTTGCTGCTGCTATCTGGGTGTGAAGCTACCTCTCCTGGAGGCCTTGTGAATTCCAGCTGTTCCAGTGAATTCATATGGAGCATGTTACAAGAGTCTGTGTTGCAGTCCTTCTGCCGGTCTCTGCCATTCTGAGGTTTAATGGTATCCATGGGTACCAGGTGAAGGGTGGGCATGGCACAAATTCTGAGTGGACCTGGCCCTTGCCCACAGTGCCCCATTATGAGCTTCGTTCTGAATTAAGAATCGGGTGCTCTCTCCCTGCTCGGGCTGACTTCTGTGGGCATCTGGGAGGGAATTTTGGTTTCCAGCTTCATGCGTCTGGAGGTCTCGATGTTGACTTCGGATCACTCTACTTTTCTGTCTTGCTGTGCAGAAGAGGGTAGGAGAGAAAAACGATGACCTGTGGTTTCTCCGTGCAGGTACTTCGTGCTGGATTTCGAGGCTGGCATCCTGCAGTATTTTGTGAATGAGCAAAGCAAACACCAGAAGCCGCGTGGAGCCCTGTCTCTGTCTGGAGCCATAGTGTCCCTGAGCGACGAAGCTCCGCACATGCTGGTCGTGTACTCGGCTAACGGAGAGATGTTTAAACTGAGAGGTGTGTCCTTCTCCCGATCACTTTGCAGATGGGCCTCGTGGGCTATGTTTATTGTTGCCATGGCGATGGCGCTCTTGTTTTTTGATTTTTTGTTTTTTTAAATTACCGTTGACAGTTTGCTGTGTGGGGAGGACTCTGGTGACACACATTGCCCCTCTTATCCCTGGGGTGGGGAGATGGAGCTGACATTAGGAATGCCTCGTCCAAATTAACTGAGGAATTAAGGACAAAGGAAAAGTGAGGGATTGCCAGAGAAGCACACTTTAGGACTTTGAAGATCTTGAGTATTAGCTCAATATGTTTTCTTTGACCTAAAGTGTGACCTTCACTCTAGTGCCCTGTGAGGGCTGTGCTGTGAGAGCTAAGCAGGCCCTCTAAAGGTCCTAGTGTCCTCCCCACAAAGTTTCTCTAGCACCATTTCTTAGTAAACTGCCCCTTTATTTGAGTTTTATTCAATCCACCGTAGTAGAGCCTGGTGAGAAGCCAACTGGAATGGAGTAGGACCCTTTACCTGCCTCCTTCCCTTTTCTTTGCTCCTTCAAAATGGATATCTTTGCTTTAACAAAGAAAGAAAGAAAATAAATACCTGCCCAGCATCCTAGAAAGGAGGATGCCTTTCCAGGGAGTCCAGCATTCACCCTCAAGACACATTCGTCGCACAGAAATGTCAGACTTGTAATAAAATTACAGTGTAATCTGATTGCTAGATCATTCCACCAGGATCTGTTATGGTTGCATTGCTGTGATTCTTCTGCCACTTCTCTTCTAATAAAAGAATGAAACAGCAAATCCAAATGCCCACATGTGCACGTGCACGTGCACGCGTGCATGTACACGCACGCGCGCACACACACACACACACACACGGATATGCAGAGTCTATATGATTTATCAAGGCCTGAGAAAAGGTGGTATGTATTAAGTATTGAGAGGTGGTTGAAAATTCTGCCTTTTCAATGTAACATTTTCTTTTGACTAAGTAAGCTAAGTACGAAGAAACGGCTGCTTGCTGTCTGCACTTGACTGGTTGCCTCTGCAGAGACTGACTGAGGGACTAGATTCCTCACCTCGCAGCCCAGTTTTCACCATGCTACTGCCAAGCTTTACCACCCAAGAGATAGAATAAACTAATGTTTATTATCCACATACAAGTCATATTTCAGAATCTATAAAACAATCCAAAAACCTATGCAGTAAAAATGTCTATAGTTGACAAAAGTTTTTCAGGAATGTGATAAGATTCATGCTCTCTTTTGAGATTCATGCAGTGTGCATTCCAGCTGCCTAGATTTATGTGGTCCTTGGCTTCACTTTGCCATTTATTGCTTAATAAATTGTCAGTGCAGAAACAACAGCAGGCGAAAAGCTCAGTGGTACCTTCCACCCTGCTTATGGTTTATAAAATGACACAAACCCATGCAAAAGAAAAATCCAACTCATTTGATAGCTGAGCAGTTGAGCCATCTTATTTTGCCGTGGAATCATTAATATCCTTTGGATTATTAAACCCGAGGTTTTTTTAGAGAGCAATTTTAATAGCAAATATAGAGGTTTTATGATCTGCACAGAATAGTCGCCAGTGCTAAATTTAGCTAAAAAAGTCAAGGTACATTTCTGCGTGTATATGGCTTGTCCTTAGCCCATCCCACAAGGAACTGGCTGTTGGTGTCTCATTTTGCATCTTACCTGCACGTAGGAGGAGTTGGATCATGATGTCACGAGACGCACAGCTTTTGGGAATATTTTTGATGCGAAGCCTTGGCTAGTACTATCACAAACTGGCAGTTCTTCAAGTTTACTAAGGAAAAATACCCTAATTTCTGCAAAACCCTTTGTCTTTGGAAGTTCATTTCACCTGGAACTCTGTAAATCAGACTTGCGCAATAGGCCTTTCGACAGACAAATCATGTGGGATGTGGAGGGGCCGTCTTTATGCCTTAAGTGAGACTAAGCCAAAGAATTTCCCACTTGGTAACTCAAGATTTCTTCTCTTGAAAGTTTGAGCTGAAGTCAGGTTTTATGGACAAAATGACACGTAGTCCCAGTTTTTTATTTTTATTTATTTATTTATTTTTGAGGCAGAGTTTCACTCTTGTTACCCAGGCTGGAGTGCAATGGTGCGATCTCGGCTCACCGCAACCTCCGCCTCCTGGGTTCAAGCAATTCTCCTGCCTCAGCCTCCTGAGTAGCTGGGATTACAGGCACGTGCCACCATGCCCAGCTAATTTTTTGTATTTTTAGTAGAGACGGGGTTTCACCGTGTTGACCAGGATTGTCTCAATCTGTTGATCTCATGATCCACCCGCCTCGGCCTCCCAAAGTGCTGGGATTACAGGCGTGAGCCACCGAGTCCCAGTTTTTCAAACAGTTATGATTTCCAGGGAATCATTGTTTTCTGCTTTTCGTAGTCAACCTTTACAGCTAGTGTTATAATATTTATGCAGTTAGTTAGGTGGTTAAATTGATGATTTAGGTTTCATTAGAGCCTGTTATGTGTGCCCATGATATTTAAGAATAACTTTTTATATATATTATTTGAGAGATAGGGTATAGGTGGAAGAACATGGCTATACAATATGACTACTTGTACGTTAATGTCTCTGTGGGGGAAATTTGAGGCTCTCTAAGGCAGCGTTTGATATCTTCGTCTGTCCAATCGTGAATCTTTGAGAACACATATTAAAATGGTAATTCAACTGCATGCTTGTTTCGTAAATGCTAATAACACCACAGTACAGCTCTGACATGTAGCAAAGACCCTGAAAAAGTGCCCTTTGCTACTCATATTAAGCTTCCCAAGGTTAGAGTCATTTGAAAATGAGCACGTGGTTCCTTCCCTGCTGCCTTTTAAAATAAGTATTATAGAAATGATTTTTTCAGAGGAGATTTAAAAAATGGCAAAATTATTCTTATAAAGAGTATTTCAGAATCCATTTTTCATATGGCTCAAGAGGATTTTCCGTGGAGATTCAGTGCAGTCTGTGTTTTGGTGTAAGTACATGCCGCTTGAGAACATGGTGATCTGCGCTCGCTGGCTCCCCCACCTTCTCTCTACCTTTCACTCCCCAGGCTCCCCACCCACTTAGGTGGGTGTAGAAATAAGTTGGATGTGTTTTGGAACGATCTCTGCAAGCATTTCTTTGTCTGTTTTCTCTATTTTAGCTGCTGATGCGAAAGAGAAACAGTTTTGGGTGACTCAGCTTCGAGCTTGTGCCAAATACCACATGGAAATGAATTCTAAGGTAAGTAACCATTAGAAAGGAAGGAGGCGTTCAAATAACCTGCGTGGCTTTCAGCCCCATTATTTGTTTCTATGGGGAAGGTGTTTTTCATGTTATTTTTAAAGTTACCCGCTGCAGTGGAATTCCTACTTGTCCTGCAGCACATACATTTAAAGCCAGGAGTAAAGTAGTAGAATGTTCTCGTAGGTAGAATACAAAGGCGCGCAGACACCGTAGGAACTGAATTTGGAAAGTCACTTTTGCATTCTGTTGTTAATTTAGGCAGCTGTTAGTTGGTCTGTTGAGACGCTCTAGTGGATGATTTCATTTTGGAGGCAGACTTGCCAGATTTACAGTTTGTGAACACCTGTAGCCATCACTGATCCTTAAATAAAACCTAGACCCCGAATCGCTTATGGACTTTGTAAGGAGCTTCTGCATTCCTAGTGTATAAAAATGTTCTCTGGTAATTTGGCATCCAAGCATGCTTTATTTCCTCCTGGGGATCTTCGGTTAGGTATGCAGGGTAGGAGGTGGGCATTTTCATGGATTACTGTGGAGGATTTGCAGTCATTATAATACAGGAAATAATTTCAAAATACATTTATCTAGGGCAATAAATATTTGTTAAAATTAATGTTCCATGGGGTATTCCTTTAGATCATTAGTTCAAATACAGTTTTTGTATCCAACGGCTATTTTCCCATGCATCTGGTAGAAAGATCCATAATTCAAACTTCTGATGATTCTGTATACTAGAGCCTGCCTGCTCTCTGGGTCAGGGTCATGTGAAATGTCTGTCTTAGATATACCTTGCTGTTCTGTCTCCAAATAGAAACTAAAATAATTTCTTCATAATGCTTTTTTTTTTTTAAAGAGACATCCCCTTTTTTTCTTGACTTGCTTATGATAGTGGCACTTACCTGTCCTGCCTTCCTTAACTTGCCCTAAGCTGAATCTTCAGGAACTGTAGGTATGGCCCTATTTCTAATGCATTTTCCTCCAACTGGCCTTCTTTATTTTCTAGGAATTATAGTAGGAGTTCTGGACATTTAATTGGCACTTTGTATGCACCTAGGCAGTGCAGTTAGTTAGTTTTTGTCTTTTTATATTTATCTTTTGACTTTTTATAAACCAGAACAGAAGAGGATAAAACCGAAAGGACTTATCCCCACCTATTGCCATATGTGCTCATTAGAGATAGTCGCTCTTAACCATTCTTGCTTATCTTTCTAGTAAATTTAGGTATGTGTTAGTATGTCTTGGTATGTGTATGTATATATATCTGTATATATACATCTTTTTTTACATAAATGGGGTCACATGCATACTAGTTTTGTTGTTGATATTGTTGTGGTTTTGAGACAGAGTTTCATTCTTGTCGCCCAGGCTGGAGTGCAATGGCATGATCTTGGTTCACTGCAACCTCTGCCTCCCAGGTTCAAGCGATTCTCCTACCTCAGCCTCCCGAGTAGCTGGGATTACAGGCATGTGCCACCATGCCCAGCTAATTTTGTATTTTTAGTAGAGATGGGGTTTCTCCATGTTGGTCATGCTGGTCTCGAACTCCTGACCTCAGGTGTTCTGCCTGCCTTGGCCTCCCAAAGTGCTGGGATTGCAGGTGTGAGCCACCAAGCCCAGCCTCTTTTTTTTTAAATAATACAGTTTTGAGATCTTTTTATGTTAGGCACATGGATTTACTTTTAGTTGCTCTTAACTGTTCTTGCATTTCTTTCTAGTAAATGTAGGCATGTGTTAGTATGTCTTGGTATGGGTATATGTATATATCTGTATATATACACATGCTTTTACACAAATGGGATCACATGCATACTGTTTTATCTTTTTTTTTTTTGATTAATATATTTTGAGATCTTTTTATATTAGGCACATGGATTTACTTTCATTCCTTTTTGTATGGCCAGATGGTGTTCTTAAGAATGGATGTCAGTGCTTTATTTAAGCCTCCTACCGATGGAAAGTTAGAGTTGCTTCCTTGTTGTTATTGTCACATATAATGCTGTAATACGTGACATCTTTGTGCATATATATTCTTTTTTTTTTTTTTTTTTCCTTGCGACGGAGTTTCGCTCTTGTTACTCAGGCTGGGGTGCAATGGCGCGATCTCGGCTCACTGCAACCTCCGCCTCCTGGGTTCAGGCAATTCTCCTGCCTCAGCCTCCTGAGTAGCTGGGATTACAGGCACGCGCCACCATGCCCAGCTAATTTTTGTATTTTTAGAAGAGACGGGGTTTCACCATGTTGACCAGGATGGTCTTGATCTCTTGACCTCGTGATCCACCCGCCTCGGCCTCCCAAAGCGCTGGGATTACAGGCGTGAGCCGCCGCGCCTGGCCACATATATATTCTTATACCTCTAGGTGTATAATCTACAGGATGAATTTATACCAGTGGAATTGCTGGATCATAGACTATGTCTTTGAAATTTTCATCGACGATGCTAAATTGTCTTGTAAAACAGTTGCCCTTATTTTTCCTTCCACTATTCTGTGTGAAAGGGTTTGTTTCCCCCTCTCATTAACTGGGTGTTGTTAACATTCAGGTTTTTATATTCTCACAGATCAAAAATGGATACCTCATTATGTTTAATTTCATGTCTACAATCATGACTGGGCCAAGTATGTCTTCAAATGTTTATTGGCTGTTTTTAAAAATAATACGGGTTGCCAATTTATACCCTTGTTTCTCTACTGAGCTCATTTTTTCTTCTTGATTTGCAGTAGCCATTTGTGGACAAAGGGCTTTTTTTCTTGCCTGTCATTTGTACTGTTGATTTTTTTTTCCAGTAGACAATTTGTATTTTGAATTTGAATAAAATTTTCGCTATGCGGAATATTTAAGTTTTTGTAGTCAAGTTCATGAATATTTTTATTTTTGGCTTTTGGTTTTGTATTATAGTTAGAAAGGGCGCCTCTGCTGCAAAATTATGAAAATATTCTTCACTGTTTTCAAGGAGTTTATAGGTTAGTTATCATATTTGAATCACTGATTCATTTGGAATGTATTTTGGGAGTGGGAATTGAGGTAGGGGAACCAACTTTAAGTACATTAATATTTCGATGAATCATTGTAGAGAAGAAAAATTGAAGGCATCTTAATGGTAGTAAAAAATAAAAAAAGAATTTGAAGACTCTTGGAAGCAGAATTCGATTTCCTGATGTATTCTCTGGTTAGCGTCGGGGATACTGACTCATCTGTTAATATTAGAATCAAGTTAAATAATAATTTAGAAATTTAGGCCTGGAGAATTCTTATTTGAGAACTGGAGATGAAAATGCTATTACCACTCATTTACATCCTAGCTAGCATGATCAACCAGGGAAGAATAATTCTAAAACTGTGAATAGACCTTATTATTCAGCTTTATCAAATTCAAGGCTGCTTAAGCAGAAGTTAAATAGTGAAAACAAAGATAGTTTCAACGTGAATATAAAGTTGGTGTCTAGTTAACTATAGTATGGCTGCTTAATTTGCATCATGGATTTTAGGAATATATGCCAAGCCCTCCTCTTCGCTATGTTTCTTCTTTATTCTCAGCAGATCAGATCCCTTCACAGTAGACTGTAGAGAATGCTTTCCCTAAGCTGCTTGGAATTTTACCTTTTAAAAACTCCTAATGCAGTCTGGGCATGGTGGCTCACGCCTGTAATCCCAGCACTTTGGGAGGCTGGGGCGGGTGGACTATGAGGTCAGGAGTTCAAGACCAGCCTGACCAATATGGTGAAACCCTGTCTCTACTAAAAATGCAAAAAAGTAGCCAGGCGTGGTGGCAGGTGCCTGTAATCCCAGCTACTCTGGAGACTGAGACAGGAGAATCACTTGAAACTGGAAGGTGGGGGTTGCAGTGAACCAAGATTGCACCACTGCACTCCAGCCTGGGTGACAGAGCAAGACTCCATCTCAAAAAAAGAAAAAAGCCATAAAACCGCTTATGTAAAATCGTGTTCAGGGTGGGGGAAAAATTATGTTCCCTGGAACAAATATTAGGCAGATAAGATGGTGCTATAATTCAAACTCGTTTTAGTAAGAATACCAGGATAGCCGGATTCATAGAACTCTAGAGCTGAAAAAGGCTTTAAGGAGGGCCCAGACAGTGGTTTCAAAACCTGGAGCTGCCTTAGTCACTACCTGATGAAGTTTTCCCCAGTCTGGAAGTGAAATGAGAAAAATAAGGAGAGAATTATTCCCATAGACAGCTTTATTAAAAATAAACGCTCTTCTTTTCAAAACTTATGTTACTTTGCTTTTGGATGTTTAAAATATTCTTCCTTTTCATGGTAGAAGATAAGAGAATATTGATTGCATTTTTTAAAAATTGAAGTTCATTGGAGTATAATTTGCATACAATAAAATTTACTCCTTTTAAGTGTAAAGTTCAGTGAGTTTTGACAAATGTGTAGAGTTGTGTAGTCACCACTGTACACATAATTCCACCTTGCCAGCAAGTTCCCTCCTTACCTGCTTTATGATCAAGCTCCTCTCTGACCCCTCAGCAACTGGCAACTGCTGATTGGTCTCCTATTTATAGTTTTGCTTTTTCTAGAATGTTCTATAAGTAGAATTGTATGGCTTTTCACATCAAACTTCTTTTACTTACAAAAAATTTTTGAGGCTGGGTGTGGTGACTCACACCCTGTAATTCTAGCCCTTTGGGAGGCTGAGGCAGGCAGATTGCTTGAGTCTGGGAGCTCAAGACCAGCCTGGGCAACATGGCTAAACCCTGTTTCCAAAAAAATTAGCTGGGCATGGTGGCATACATCTGTAGCCCCAGCTTCTCAGGTGGCTGAGGTGGGAGGATTGCTTGAGCCCAGGAGACAAAGGTTGCAGCAAACGGAGATTGCAACACTGTACTCCAGTCTGGGTGACAGAGCAAGACAGTGTTTCAAAAAAAAAAAAAGCAGCTTTGAATTTCATCCATGCTGTTGTGTGTAGCAGTAGTTGATTCTGTCTTTACGTTTTAGCTATTTTAGCAGAAGCACGGTACTTTTTGTTCTTAATAT